GGAAGTTCATGATATGATATAATGCTTAATGTTAATAACATTATATCAAATAATGACAAAAACGAATAAGTCATGATTTGATATAATGTCTGTTCGTTTATCAATTATTTATATATAATGACAATTTTAGTCATGATATGATATATTTAACGCGTAAGTCTTTTAAAAGATCTCAATACTTGAAAAATAGGATCCCAATCAAATTACATTAATACGCATATTTCAGTGATTTTTTGCAATGGGATGTCCTCATGAACATAAGATCTTCGAAGCTAAGACCCTGACTTTAAGGTCATAAATTAGTAAGACCCCCAGAAACATATTAACTAAATCAGATCATAGACAATCGAGAGGAATTCTAACCCTATTTTTACTCTATCCCAATTCCAACATTACCGCAATCCAAACCCCGTACCAAACCCTACCCCAACAAAACCAACCAAACCTTACCTCGTTCAGTATCATTGACTTCTGCGGTGCTGTCTGCGGAAAGGAAAATCAGAAAATTTAATGAAATTACAAAGGTGTGCGACGAGGATAGCAACAAAATGGTAGTGGCATTATATTGTCCTTACAAACTTAAAATGGAATAATGTCGACTGAAGATAGAAAGTCTTTAAGTGGTCAATGTCCGCAATTTTTACAAATTTAGTTTACCTGTAATAAGGATATTGTCCCACGATTAAAAGGACAGAGTTCCCTCTTAACTTGCCAAGAGTAAGAACAGAAATGTCAAAACGCTCATTTTATTATAATGGTTCTGTTCTTTATAATGAACTTAGTTTGTTATCTAAGTAAGATCTTCAACTACTGTATTCACTAGTTTATATATGTACATTATTACTATCCGTTTTACAATTTCTAGCTAAATTTTTAGATTTGTAACTATGTAATTGACAAGTATGTAACTTGTCGTCTAAATTTTCAAATTTGTAAATATGTAACTTGACATTTTAGGGCTTCGGTGATTCCTGTCCCTGATGTTCATATCATACAAAAGCCTTAACCTAACCCCCCCCCCCAATCCTAAACCTTACCCAAATGGTAATCGTAAACCCTACCCTATCTCCAACCACGCGGGGTTAGAGGTTAGAGGCGGGGTTGTGGTGGGGGTCATGGATCAGCCTTGATGCATTATGATAGGGGTCACACGAAGTATATACCACCTCGTATTATTTGTGTCGCTGACCAGCGAACACGTGAATGTAAGCAAACAGCTAAAAATAGATCAAATTACGAGATTAATAACTTTTCAAAGCATTTCGTGCAGATGTGTTTTATTTATGATTACTTAACTTTCGTAGATGTACTTTAAAGTTACATGCCTTTTGAACTCCAGATAGGTTGGGCCACTTTTGAGATAATATATTTTAAGTAAAATATGAGAAAATTTCAACTTGTCGTCCCCAAATTGAAAACATGGTTTCGTGGGTGAAATCCCCCAAAAATTCGTATCAAGCAAATAAAGTTATTCAGTCTCCATGGAAACAAGAATACATTAGTATTTACAGGTAAACTACGTGAAGCGTTCCTCTTTTGAGTTCCTAAGTTGATTGCAATTTTCGTCATTACCTTAGCAAATTTTCAAAACTCCCTTGCAAATCCCTTGAGGGAATTTGCAATGTTCTTAAGAACAAAATAAATTTTCCTCAGTTCCTGTTACAAGTTCCTAACTTCCTGTTCTGTTCTGTGCGTTGCAATTGGCCAACAAAAATAATCCACCAATGAAAACGCTCAGAACAGAACAGAACAGGAAGTTAGGAAATTAAAACAGGAAGTTAGGAAAATTTGAAAGGAACTTTCTTTGCGTTGGAATATTGCAACGGCCGACAGGAAAATTGCAAATTCCCTCAAGGGATTTGCGAAGGGTTCTTCAAATTTGCAAATCTAATTTTGAAAATTCCAAATGAGTTAGGAACTCAAAAGAGGAACGCTTCACGTAGTTTACCTGTAACTTGCATGAGAAAAGTAACTGGGAAAGACAGGGCATCACACTTTTTAAAAAAATCAGATGAGTTTTTGTAAAATTTCCCTTTGTTTTCGGTCTAAAAATACTCCCGCAAGGCCAAATTTTAATATGGGCTATATAACTCCAATAAAAGAGAAAGTTGAAACGTTCTGGAAGAAGCCTGATTAGTATTGACTAAAGTCTAGGTCATATGCAAAATATCAGCCGAATCATTTCCTTGGGTGGACCCTCTTAATTTTGCTTTGTTTTTTAACAATTTTCGTGGTGGTTTGGGGTTGCAGCGCAACAACTACACTGATTTGTTTTGCATGCATATTACACGCAGGGGCGTGGCGACTGGGGGGTCTTGGGGGGGGGGGTGCGACGCCCCCCAATAATTCTGAACTTTGAAAAGTTGGTCAAAATTTTCGAAAAGTTGGTCAAAATTTTTGAAAAATTGGTCAAAGGAATTATTTAAATATTAAACGAAATCTTATATTATTTACAAAAATTTTAAAAAATCCAAAAAATGTTCAGAATTTTAGAAAAAGTTCTTTGATAAACGGAGAAAATTTGTGATATCCGAAAAAATTTTAATGTCGCGAAAAATGCGATAGGTCCGGAAAAATTTTTTTACCCCTAAAATGGTACACTGACCGAAAATTTTGGCGACGGGGGGGGGGAGGTCGCCAAAAAAAATTTCGAGAAAAATTTTTTAAACACGAAAACGTTGGTCATTTTCATTGAAAAAGTTGGTCATTATGGTATGACGCCCCCCCCCCAATCTGGAATCGTTCGCCACGCCCCTGATTGCACGCCTCCTTGAGTGGGAGCGTGGTTACTCCGCTTTCGCGCATGCTCAGATAAAGTCCCACCAGTTTATATTAGATAGCTCTCTCCTACCTATGCTGACAATTCCTATACGAGCCTGAACATGATTCGAATCGCCAACGTTGAAACCAATTTCATAAGAATTTTCCTCGAAGGCTGGTTCTGTAATATTATCTTCCAAAGCATTAATCCACAGGTCTTTGGATATATTTAATGTGTTCTTTTGAAAAAATAAACTACGAAGTGATGGAGCCTGGACGGGAAATTGAATGCTAAAAGCATCCGAGGTCAAGCATACTTCTGTAACGTTAGCACTCCAGAACTGTGAATTGAAGTTGGTCTGGTCATTTCCTTTTGCAGTCCAAATTGCAGAGTCGTAGCTTGTATCATTCTAAGATAATGAAAAGTTATAGCATTTCATTCCGGCCGAATCCTACCATAAAAACGCAATGACCTTGTCCTTATATAAACATTTCATTTTTGATCCCCACGTTGTGTGTGTGTGTGGGGGGGGGAAGGGGAGGGGGGTCTCCAATGGATTGACATACAAAAGACACAAAACAGCACACAGATTATATGCGTGCACCTAATATACAATATTTCACGGCATGGTCTACTTTCCAGTTCCGGTTGAAGATATAAGAAATCCTTCGATTAAATAAATAATGCTTATAAGTAAGCCACAAACAATAGATCCCAGACGCATGTACAGGTCCTATTGCCTATTCCAAAATTAAAATAAATAAGGAATAAATCACGTAAAATTAAACTAAAGTTAAAAAGAAACGAAATACTTCGCCACAAAATGAAAATAGCGAAATAAAACGTTATATTACTTCTTAATTAAATTACTACTCCAGAAAAGGTTTACTTTACATGCTGACTTCTCAAAAATAGTACTCAAGTACAGTCACGAAGTACATTTGCTTCGTTACTTGACTCCACTGCTTCAAATAAATGGTAGTAAAGATAACTCGTGGTATATTATTAATTGTATGAATTTAATACAGTCTTAGAAGTTGAAGACATGGGTTTTATGTTTGGGAAGAGTTCTGCTTAACCCAGTTTGAAGTTGCACTTGTTGCGGCTTGAAATGCAGCCGTTGTATCAAGACGTGAAAATATGTGATTTGGCGTTGTAAACAGAGCGAGGACAATGTCTAAATTATTCATATGTTGTAATTATTCAATTATTTTCAATGAATTATTGTGATTGGTAGCCGTTGCCGTCGCGTTGCCGTCCTAAATCGTAAGATCTCTAATAACACTTTGGATGATGGTAAAATCAAAATTGTTTTATATTTTGTGGTCTCAAAGTCGTTGTGCCAATAAGCCCAAAAATGATTTTTGGTATTTGTGGTATTGGGGTCTTTCTTCGAAAAAATATAATATTGTAAAAGACCTCACGTTGTTCAACTCTTTGCTGTCACAGTCCCTCTATATGATACCATTAGGTGAATTTTAGCAACAAGAAACAAAGAAACTAATATACATTTATTTAATGATTTCCGGCAGAATGACGCAAGTAGTGCCATGCCCATACAAAAATCATTGGGTTTAGTGGGTTTAGTGCATAGATTTGTTATATGGTTTAGTGGGACTTTGATGCCCCTAATCACCCAAGGCGTCTTCTAATTTAAATACGGCTGTATTTGCTTACGGTGGAATTGTTGCCTTCCACTACCCCAATGAGCGTCCATCCACTTCCTGTACATCCTGATGGAATAGATTCCCCGCCAGCACTATGGCATTCTGTTTCTGCAAAACCATCGGCGGTTCTTGATTTGATTAAATAACTTCCATCAGTACCGCTATAAAAACGAACAAAGCCAAGAATAAGCGTTCTTCTACCTTATCCAGTATTTCCAAAAACGTTCCCTTTGCTCGTAACACATGAAATTTGGTACAGTCCGTACCGTTACATTTCGGTATTCAAAAATTAAATATTGAACTTTGTTCGACAACTATTTATATTTTCATGCATCTACAGTATAATAAATGATCAAAATACAGCAATCAAGCTTTGCAAGAACATAAAATCAGGAAATAAAAACCTAATTAAAGTGTTTATATCACGCGGCAGGAGACTTAACGATCAGGGGCCGGTTGTATCAAGCCCGTTTAGCTTAAACAGTGGTTAAGCTCAAAATAGAAAGCAAGTCTATAGATTCATTCAACAACCAAACTAAACGTTTGAACTTTAATAGAACGATAATGTTTGCAACTACATATTCAGTGCAGAATATTTAAGTTGACTGATTCACGAGAGAGAACTGAGAGTGTTATTTTATTTTGACTTATCCACCGTTTAAGCTAAACGGGCTTGATACAACCGGCCCCAGGAGGATAACGTCGCGCGAGGCCCGTGGCAGATTTTCAGCGCGAGGCCCCCAAGTTGGAGCCGCAACCCTTTCCCCCCCGTTATGAAAACCTTTGAATTCAAAGACGCAAAATTGTTAAATAATTGTTTTCAAATCACCGCAATTTCGCAGCCAAGCTAGCAGTCCACCAGGATTTCTAAATAATTTTCCGTTACGATAAAACTGGTTTCAAACATCAATGAAACCTTTATATTTTGCTAATTTGGGTGCTTGATTGCTTGAACAACCTGCGTGGATTAATTGTGACGATTTTTTGGATATAATTGGGTCTTACAAACACATTTCAGTATAACATAACAAAACGTTAACGATTAGTAACATGGCTAAAAATAGCTAACAAAATATCATACAAATCAAATATTGGTGTCTATAATCAGGGCAACTGGAGATTACATGCATACGGGTATTGCATATTTTCCTG